AAAAAAAAAAAAAAAAAAAAAAAAGAAAAAGGCTTGGACAACAATAATTCCAGCGCAAAAGTAATCATCCGTCTTTAAATCGGATTTCTCGAGTGTATAATTCGTTCTAAATTGCTCGATGCACAATGGAAATTTCCACGAATTACAAAACGTAATAACCATCAGCTCGATATTGCCCCGACGTGGGTGGAAGGAAATCAATGATTACTTTTACGTCACTCTGTATCATATTGTACCTATAGTGTAGGACACTGTGAGCTCCGGACAGACGAGTACCAAATTGTGCCAGGCTGTGTCGGTGATGGTGTGATGTCTGGAATCAGAATCTCTCACCGATATGTGCAGCGTTTTCAACACTCTTGGCGCTGCATTCGTTAAAGCAATTAAAGTCTGGTCGGACAAGGCTGGATAATCGAGCCTTAGTATTGTCAACGCGCGAAATCGGCCAAGCAGACGCAAGTATCTGAAAAGAATTTGAATTGATTTATGATGAAAACAATTCTCGTCGAAGGGACCATGATAATTTTTTAAAATAAATTTTTTAGATAAAACTTCGATCTATGTCCCCCCAAAAAAGAAAAATCATATCATGAAATTTATGCAAGTCTTGCAATGAGAACAATTTTAACAATCAAAATTGCGATTCCGGTAATTAGAAACGAGACTAGCATGTTGAAAATAACACAATGAAATCTATGATCTGTGATTTCTATAAACTACAATACAATAATCCGATGGTATAAAGTCTATGATTTACGATCTAAGAGCTATTATATTGTAAAATGAAAAGTGGGTTTTATAAAAGCGATCTTTGTCAAGGCCATCTCTCACAAGAATAACCCTTGTCAAGTAATTAGGGCTACTTTTGTGTTCCTGTTGGCAAGATTGTTATTTTATCAGAGTATCGCAATCATTGCGTTCTTGGACGATGATATATCAAGGTGATTTTGATTGATTACGGCACTGGAGAGGAATATTGGTACTTCTAACAATATTTAATTCTTGCTTCTTTTTCTTTTTTTTTTTCAATGAATAATGTAATTCAATTTTGAAATATTTGCGAAACAAGTGCCTAATATGATCTAAATATAAAAAATCTATATAAATAATAATAAAAATAAAAATAAATATAAAAAATCTAAATATAAACGAAGTAACACAATAAAAATAAATAGAGATATTTATATTTTATTAAAATTTAATTACGATTAAAAAAAATATAAGTAATCAAAATTCACAGTATAATATATAGCTTGATAATTCTAAATAGAAAAAAAAAAGATTTGAAATCTTTCGAATAAAAATTAAAAATGAAATTCTACATCGTGTGCATAAATTGAAGTACTCTCTTTATGTCTATATGGCTATGAAAAAATCTAGAAAATCTAGAAGTGTATGAAGAAAAAATATTTTTTCTTTTGTTTAAATTACTAGAAGATTGAGCAAGATATCTAAAAATAATCTAAGATCGATATTTCGACAAAGGAATTAATTATAAAAAAATTATATATTAAAAGAGTAAGTATATAATTATATATTATTATTATTAATTTTACTGTTATCATGATTATTTTAATTTTTTCATATGTGCAATAATGATTCCAGTAAAATTACTGAATTAATAGAGCTGCCTCACACGTTTTGGATTGCCATTAGGCTATTGTTTTTATCATGAATCTTTCGACTCTGTGATAATTACAATAATTATTAATTAATCGATAGAAATATCTCACGTGCCTTGGATTGCTGTGAGGCGCCTGCCATTCTCGAAACGCACCCCGAAGATCTAGATATGCCAAATGCTCGGTGGAACTTTTCGAAGCACTGGCAAGAAGTCGCAACACGTCGCTCACTCCAAGAGTTGCATTCAGCAGGCTAAGCGTTTCCAAATTATGCTGACAACTATGTGAATGAATATTTGTTTTAAATTACTGAGAATCGAATCCGAGAATGACAACGATTCGTATCAATATTTAAATATAAATTATTAATTTTTTTTCCTTTTTTTTTTTAGATATCAAAATATATAATTTTAGCATAAAAATTTTAAGAAACTTGCTAATTAATCAATTACCCTAAAAAGTTAGCAAGGGCGTATAACAGTTTGCCCCTGTTCCCCCATTTACAAATGAATATCCAATCGGTGAGTATCAGCTTCCTTAACTGAACATTCTTGGCTCGTACGATCGTGAGGAAATCAGCGCCTGCCTCGGCTTGAATATTACGAGTTATGCGAGCTTCTCTTGGCAAGAGATACGGTCGTGACCAAGCGAGTTCCAGGCTTCGTATATGCTGTCCATATTTTGCCTAAATGAAACGAAGTTTATTTAATCGAATTTCGATATACGTATCATCTACAATAATAAAAAAAATGTAAGATATTCGATATTCCATTGGTAACAATAAATCCTTTCCGTTGAAATATATTCAAGAAATTTGTATTCTTATCAGAATTAAACTCTGTCTATATTTATAACTCGTTTTAAATAGAAAGATTGACGATTAGCCTTCAATAAATATCAATTTAATTTCAATACACCGTGACACGTTTCGTTAATGAATTAGCTGTGATTGTGTAAGGGAAGAGAATGATCGAGGTTTTATTTTTAATAAATATATGCATACGGCTAATTCTCCCGCCAAAGGGAAGTCACCACGCAGATCACGATCGATGAAGACTGTGACGGAACGCCAAAGAATTGGCGACGAAAGTGCACGGTTCCATCGCTGACAGACTTGTGCAACATTGGCACGGTCTCCATGACCGAGGTGACTGAATATCTGCGTCAGTATCAGCTCCGGCAGCTGATCCCACATCTCCCAGTTTCAGCTTGGCCCGTCTTCATCTCTACGTAGCTGAGGCAGCTGTTGCAACCTCGTCAGGTTCTCTTGTCATGCTCCGCGATATCGACTCGATCGTCTTTGAAAATCGCACTGTCAATTGAGTGGAATTCAAGAGATATTAATAGACTTGAACTCGCGTTGAATCGAAGTCGATCGTCATTGAAAATTGTACGATCAATCGAGCAAAATTTTTGATATATTAGAACTTGAATTGAAGGCAGTTAGACATTGTAAAGATAGAAAGAAAAGAGAAGAAAGAAAAAAAAAAAAAAAAGAAGAAGAAAAAAATTGTGAACAATTCATATAACAGCAATTTATTGAATTTTCTCACTATTTATAATTTTTTGTTTAAATAAAAGTAATAGTAATTCATGTTCAGAGAAGAAGACAAGAGTTTATTTAATCGAATAATTAAAATTTTGTTCCAATAAATATAGTAATAATTTTAATAATATAATAATAATAATAATAATAATAATAATAATTTATGCGATTGTATTTAAGAAATCCTGGATGTCGAGTATAATAAAAGATATGGTCTGTTCCAATTGCACTTTATATGTTTTATAGATGAAATTGATAAATAAACGTGAGCTTCATTATAATGATATTACTATTCTTTGCTTATTTTTAAACAACTATGAAATTAAACTATAGGAATTAGAATAAGGATAATTAATTTCTTTCTTTTTTAAAAATATCTCATTTTTTAAAATTTATAAACTAGAAGATTTAAAAATCTATTATTAATATAAATGATTTTCCATTTTGGTATAATTGTATTGATCTTTTAAAAGCTACTTGAATTCTGTCCAATTAATAGTAATAGTAAATAGAAAGATATTATAACTTTATATAATATACTTGAGAATTGCCTAAATTGTTATTCCATTAATATTTTATCTCTGCATAATAAGTTTTCCCGCTTATTGGTTCAATGTTGCGGCAAATTTAATAACAGATAACGTAACGAGATGGCGTTCCGGAAGGCTAGATGTTGCATATAAAGGATTTACTATCAGTGTGTACTGAGAGTGCATTCGGTGCACGTGTACTTGGGATTACATGAGTTTGATTGTACGATATAATTTATCAATTACGCAGTGTCAAAGTCTAAACTGATCACTGATCACAATTACTGAATCGTCACTGAAAAACGATATTATATATTCCTTAGGAATAAATAAGTTTGATAGATAATTACATAACCGTTTGTTCTTGGTCTTTGACCCGCATTCTAACCTGTCACGTGCCATCGTTGCATGTAAAAAGTGAACGATATTTAGCATAATATTGATACAACTGTAATGCTATCAAATTGCCTAAAATATTTAATGCGTTGATAAATATATTACATGTGAGATAACATTGTCGAAGCTTGAGAATGAAGGAAGAGGTGATTAATCAAGAGTTGGATAAGGACCAATGGAAATTAGAAGCTCAAGCTATTATAAATGACGTGAAACATCATGTAATGGACATAAAAGTATCAGAAAAATTACAAAATAGTAATCAGTTCTTCTATTTAAATTTAATCACATTAGAAAACTTGAAGTTTTGTATAGAACTATCAAATGCTGGTTTTACCATCGTTGGTAATGAGCACGATAACATATCAAATAGAGGAGACGAGCAGTTCGAAACACTATATAGTTTGTTGAATTTTGTTAGTCCACAATATAGATATTCTTTTGGAAATTCACTTATTGATAAACTCAAACAATTAAATGACTTCCAATGAACAAATTCGATTAAAACTTTTGGTATTTTCATTCCTTATTTTTACATTATCACGAAAAAAATTATTACAACGTTAAATATATATATTAACAAATGTTAGATTTAATTATTTGAATATTTTTCAACAATAATCATTTTAAATTTAAAATAAATTATGATTATCGTCAAATGTATTTTCTCTTTGCGCAGTATTTAATCCGAATCTAGCCGAAGATATCCGAGTAACATAGTAATTTGCAAGGACAGTATCGTATTTGGTATATGGTAACAAGTTTTAAATTTTTCTGTTTTTTAATATGTACTATTATAATATATGAAAATTCATGAAACAAAAAATTTTATAATGATATTAATAATATTATTATTTTCAAACAAATTAGTAATAATAGACAAAAATTATTTTTATTTTGAATTGTTACATAAATTCGTTTTAATATTTCAAAAATTTATTTATTTTCGATTAATATAAAACATATGTTTCGAGTAAATCATTAAAAAATTAATAATTTAGAAATAATAATTGAAATTAAAAAAATTTTGGATTCCTAATAAATAAATTTATTATATCTTTTTTAAATGATCTTGAGACTAATAAAATTTATTTAATCATATTATATTATATTTAAAAATAATATTTCAGATTTATATAAATGTTGTGATGGATACTGCAATAGATACGATACTGTGATATTGACGAATCGCGCGTTCCTAGGAAATATCCCTAGGAATCGAAAGATCAGTCAGTGCAAGTGGTAATATCGGTTGTGTTTACCCCCTCCTTTACGTTCGTTGCTCTGTGTTCCGTTTGGCGTATTCCACTGTCGAGTTGTGAAGTAACGAAGCGGTTTCGCCGAATGTGGCGTATCGTGTGTGCATTTTATGATGTTTCTGAATGAGTTTATCGTTGATTAAGTGCCTAAGAACGTCATAGTGCATCTTGTTTGTTAATATTACAGTAAATAGTGTGACGATGTTAAACGGTGAGCGATGACACGCCCGTGAAAAACGATAACAACAGCTATCCTTTGATTGACCAGAAACGATAGAGAAAACGCAATACGCGAAGGACCCTCTTTGTGTATTTTTTTGTGACATTTATTGGAAAAAACATGCTTCAACCAAGAGCTACATACATCAAACGATAGAAAAGGTAAGTGACAAATATTTCGGTTAATCGAATGTCAAAAAACCGCGAAATCTTGACAGATCGTTTGTTTTTATTCGATAGTCATACTCATTTCTCAATATTAACGTGAAAGGGGTGGGACAATTGCTTCCTATATCTCTTTTGAACCTATATAACTGCAGACAATATCGTATGTGTGGAAATGAGTCGCGATAGTAACGTAATATCATAGGTTGCTAAATATTGTCAATCTTTGTTTGCGCATACATGCGTATTTCAAATTTTCTTTCAATTTCACAGATTTTTTATAAATATATTTAGTTTTTCAATGAATCCAAACCACATTAAATGAATAATTTTACCAAATCTCTGCGTTTTATATATTTGACAAGTATACAAAGTGACATTATTATTTTCATTAGAAATTCTTAATTTATATAAAAACCGCGGTATATTTGTTTCATTCATTTTTCATTTTCAAAGCTTTTAGTTGACATTTTCTAATTTATATCGTATAAAATTTTCTGATTTCTTATGATTTCCCTGAATATAAAAGTTCACATTTGGTATGTTTAAATTTTACTGATATATTTCCTATAACAAAAAATACATTATAAAGTAAAAAAAGTAAAATATTTTTCAGTATAATATTTAATTTATTTAATGTTTGTAATATTTAATTTATTTGTAATGTTAATTAAATTCGATATTTAATATTAAATTATAAATGTTTTTATATATCATATTTTATATTTTAATTATTAATATACATTATAATAAAATTTTTTAAGAATAAAATAAAAATCTATATCAATATTAATTAATTGAAAGATGAATAAAGTATCGTATTTTAATATTGTTTTCTATTACACATGTTGTTTCACGTAATATTCGTCATACTTCGAAAGTAATGTCGTTGTTCTAATTATGATAATCAGAATGATTCATCAGTTAAAAGATTGGGTTAAAGGTAATAGAATGTGAAAAAAGTAACTATTTAACTAAGTAACTAAAGTAACTAAATAATTCAGTTTTCAGATATTCTGTTAATAATTTAATGAATAATGAAATTTAATTCATCATAGATGATTTGTTATTTTATTCAACGTAAAATTAATAACATTATTTTAAAGCTTTAACATTAGATATATAATTCTATTTAGTATAAGTCATAAAAGTAAGACAGTAAATTTATTATTTAAATGTTAATTAGTCTATGACCATTATAATGACTAAATTAAATAAATTATAACAAATATATTCTAACAAATTCGAATTGTATCATCAATTTTATCATCAAACAATTTTAAGAGAAAATTATAAAATAAGTATATAAGAGTCAAATAAATTTTTTATTTTAATATTTAATTTTGTAATATATATTCTTTCATTTACTTACATTTACATTATTTATATTTACATTTTACATTTACAATTTACATTTACACTTTATATTTTTTTTTGTTAATTTTTGTTAATTTTTGTTAATTTTCAATAAAAATTTAATTAAGTTTTATTATGTAAATTAAAAAAATATCATAAATTTTTATATTTTATTTATCTATTAATTTGTTTGATTACATTTTCTTCACATTTTATTCAATTTAATCATAAAAAGAAATCTTATGATTAATTTTGATAACATTTGATAAAAACGAAATTGATAAGAATTATATACTGCACTTATATGAATAATAATAATCTCAAAATAAATAATGCAATATAAAAAAATAATTTTTTTTAAATTATATGTATATGTAAATTATATTAATTAATTTCTTTATATATTACATTTTTAATAAATATTAAATATTTTATTAAATTAAACTATAGTAGTAACTAATAATAAGTAATCATTTATCAATGAAGAAAAAATATATTTATACTTTTTGGTAAATCACATGTACAATAAATAATTTCAAATTCATATATTTGTTTTTCATATCTTTTATTACAATTACATTAAAGCAGTTAGACAATAATTTTTTCAGGAAAAAAGGAATGGATAATTTGATGATAACTACATCAAGTAAGAATAGTTCACGCAGTACATCACCTAAGAGAAGAAATATATTGATTTCATCTCAACAATTATCAGCTACTTTGGAACATATTCCAAAAATACGTAATGTTTCACTGTAAGATCTAATTTTTTATAGATATTAATACATGTGCTTGCATAGATTAAAATTAAAAATTCTTATTTTTTTGTAGTATTTTACATGAAACAGAATAATTAAGCTTATGCTTCAATATGATATAATTAATGATACAATATTTTGTACTTACAAATAAGAATACTAAGTTCCTAAAAAAATAAATGAAAAGTAAATAGAAGGAGCACAGTACAAAACTAAATTTGACTTCGCAGTTCCCAAACAGGGGAGGATAGTACAGGCAGTGGAAGTAGTGGTGGTGAAGGCAGTCTCAGCATGAAAGGTAGTAGGCAAAAATCACCAGGAACTGTGATTCGAGTAGATGCTATGGATGAATCAAATACCAATTTAATCACTGCCGAACAAGATGAGTTTGTGCCAAATATTCATCTACCAACTGATGATGATGGAGTATGTATTTTAATTATAAAATAATTTTAATTTTAAAATCTTTAAAACTTTTTAATTTTTATATTTATGTTTGACATTTTTATTTTTAAATAAATATTTTTACTGATTATATATAATTCCATTTTGCAATTGTAAGAATATGTTCATAATATTTAAAATTATTGTTGAAATATTAAAATTAATGAAATTAATATTATTATTAGCTTAATTATTTATTACAATAGCATATGATTATATATGCTTACATAAAGTTACTTATATAATGACACTGTTATGTATAATGACAATTACATTGTATTGTAAGATCATTAATCAGTACTGTATAATTAGAGTTACTAGTTAAGATTATGTAGTTGCATAATATTATAAGTTACTTTGAAATTAAACCTATTGATATTTATAAATCTGGAATATGATACAAGTTATTGAACAATGTGCTCAAGAAAATGTGTTTTGTTAGTTATAATTTGAGTTCTAATAGTTAAAATTATTATGAATTAATTATATATTTTGTGTATATTTTAATATAATGATAAATTTATTTACAGGAACAATATCATGCAACACAATCGTTCCTATCAAATGGCTCTTCTGAGTTAATAACTGATGATGTTGACTCTAATTCTGCTCGTGTTTGTCAAGCAATTGAGAACATTCAAAATAAAATTGCTAAAACACGAGAACTTATAAGAATAGAACAAACCACACGTGATGGTAATTTTTAATTATTAATAATTAATATAGTACTGATATACATTATATATTAGAGTGTTACAAGATATCTATTTATCTAATATAATGTAATAAATAATAATGTAACTTATAATAATTTATAATGAATGCTATATGTAATAATAATTTATTTAAAAATATGTTATAAATATAAAGTTTAATATTTTTTTAGAAAATGTCAATGAATATTTAAAATTAGCTGCAAATGCAGATAAGCAGCAACTTACCCGAATCAAAGCAGTATTTGAGAAGAAAAATCAAAAATCAGCGCACAGTATTTCTCAACTCCAAAAAAAATTAGATAGTTATACAAAAAAATTAAAAAATTTTGAGTTGAATGGTGCACCTACAAGTCATAGACAACCCCGAGAAGTGCTTCGTGATATGGGACAAGGACTTAAGTAAATATATTTTATTCCTTATTAATATTATCTATATATTATTTTTTTTAATAATAAAAACAAAAAATAATATTAAATAATATTAAATTATATATATATATATATATAGATTTCTTTTTATTTTTATTTTTCAAAATATTTATTAGGATATATAAAAATATGATATAAACATTCTTGATTTAAATTTTTACACAAAAATAAATTTAAACATAAGAAATTATTTTTTAGCGCATTTTTTATGTGTTATTCCTTATTTTTTAATTTATCTTTTATTATTCTAAATATAAAGTATGAGACAATATGAAACTTTCATCTAATTTAAGATTCACTTCCAGAAACGTGGGTGGCAATATTAGAGTTGGAATCAGTGGTTTTTCAGGGTGAGTATTAATATGAAAATAGATTTCAGTATCTTCCTATCACATTATCATATTGTTATAAATTGAATTTTAAAAACTATTATTCTAAAAAAAAAATGAAAAATTGAAAAAGCAAAAGAAATATATTTGTATTCATAAACATAAAATTATATATTTATAAATATACAAAATATGAAAAACATAAAAATTATAATTCTAATATATTTATTTAATAATTTAATAATTAATTTAATAATTAATTTAATAATTTTTCATATAAAAACTTTTCATAATTTTTATGAATTTTATACAATTCTGAAATAATTATTTATGTAATTTTATGCATTTCAGAAGTGTAATGTCCAAACCAAGAGAATTTGCACATTTAATAAAAAATAAATTTGGCAGTGCTGATAACATAAATACTTTATCTCGTGAGTAATGTTTATTATTTTTTAAATTAATTAACATAACTTACTCAGATTATATATATTCTTTAATTTTTAAATAATATTTATTATTAAAAGTATAAAGTTTTTTGTGTTTAAAGAGCACAATTACTAAGCACATATTGGCTTATGCTAATAAATTGTGATACTA